CCTCCCAAACTAGAAACCTAGCATAAACAAGGTGATCTTGAAAGAACTGGTCCTGGACCAACACAGCCAGATATAAATCCAAGAGGAAAGAGAAGATATTTCTCAAAGGCGAGGGTGATGGAGAACCATGGAGACATAGAGTGATATTATCACCCAGCAACTCCCTCATCTCATTAAACTGGCCACTGTGACTCTTCTGGACCAGCCTTGTTGGGATAATAGAGACAAGGAGAGGCCAGGGGCTGCTGGAGGCCCTGGCACACCAAATGCCTGGGAGGGAAACAACAGGGGTAGACTGAAAGAAATGCCGGGGTGAGCAAGGTAAAATGATGGCTGAAACTGGCACAGGAGCCATTGATTGAAGAGCCAAATGAAGATGTACTGCTGCCAAGGAATCTGTGGAAGGCAGAATACTCAAGTAAGTGGGTAGTCCTACAACACAGTGGTGGGTCACAAGATACCAATGGGGGATGAGACTGGTCTTGGTTACCAACTAGGGAGGGAGCAGGTAACTGCTGGTAAACCTCCTGGCCGATAAGAGCTTAGAATTCAGAAAGAGCGGCCAAAGATGGACTAGGATCCTGCACCACTAGTGCAACAACAGGAGGCTCTGGTAAGAGGCACGCTATAGCGAGGATAGCTGCGACCAGGTGTTGGAGAAGAGGGACTTGCTCCATCTTGAGATGCCCTGTGGCCCGAACCAGGTTCACATTTCCTAGCTTGACAGTTTTTCAGTATGATGACATAATGAAGAAGAAGAATAGACCAAGACAAGATCAAACACAAAATTTGCAGAGCAACAAGCTAAACTTAGCCACTTGAGCACTCAAATAAACCACGTGAATGTTAAAATGAGTGACCCCTCCTCATCATTAACTGACTTTAAATGTAAACCTTTATAGACTATAGTAAGACTTTTATTTGTTCAGATAGCGATTGATAACAACTACATCTATGTCTTTATAGATCAGTTCAGTGTTCCAGTAGTAGCAGCAGTTCCTATTGTTGAGATGATACTAGCTCTGATAGCTAATGGTGTGGTACTATCTATCACACTCTATCAAAAGAAGTCCTTGAAACAATCATCAACAATATTCTTTACCTCTTTCATATTGGCACATATTGTATTGAATCAGCTATATCATCCTTTCAAAATTATTGCATCACCTGTTACTATAATGACCAGTAACATCCCCAAAAAATAAACACAGCAGAGTTAAACAAGTCCTTCTCTTCTCAACTGTACCATTGTACTTGTTTGGTTATGGTCCTATTTCTGTTTCTTAATATCTTGTCATTTTACAATTATGTCTTTGTATTATCAGCAGGCCATGGGCTCCTGGTATATTATGATACTGGTAGAGGGTTTTCCTTGTTTCTTTATTTATCTTCACCAATATAGGATTGGTAATAATGTTGCTATGGATGTACTTTTCTTTAAATGTATTTCATATGTTATTTTTGGCTACTAATTTGTTTTATAAAGATATATTATAGACTAGTTAGATAAAGTTTTAAAAGCCACTTGTAACTCATTCTTTGCAAAAAGTTTGTGTCCTCTTTTATAATTCTAATATTTTTTTCCTTATGCTTAACAGATCTCAGTCTAATTTGTTTGATGTGATTATATTTTATGTTAAGTAAAGTTCACCATATCGCAAAGCAAATACATGTATATGGTGGGGTAGGAACTGTCTTATTTCATTTGCCTGTCCATACTATAGTAAATATATTTATGATTTTTATATTGGCAGTTCAGTTGTAGCATTAGAGCATTTCTTTTCACTTGTTGTATGATTTTAAATCAAATAGGAGAGTATCTCCTTGCAAAAATACTTTGTACATACTGATATTACTTTGGTAACATAAATTTGTATTTATTTAATTCTTTTTTGTTTGTCATAATATTATCAAATTGGCATTGTTGGTGTACACTGCTAATGCTATACTGTGGTATGTTATGATTGCATTATTGTTTTAGTTTCATAGTACATGTATTGTCTTCAGTAAAAATTATGTACTTAATGTCTATGCTAATGTAAGTAACGTTATCATGTAAGTTTAATCTGTTGCAATAATTAATATGAGATAATAGTTTGTTGTTTGAAAAGAGACAAACAGTATAACAGAGAGCCTGGCATGGAGAGCAACTATACCTTTACTGGTGAGTTTAGTGGTCCAGCAATAGCAGCACTTCTTATTGTTGAGATGATACTAGCTCTGATAGCTAATGGTGTGGTACTATCTATCACACTCTATCAAAAGAAGTCCTTGAAACAACCATCAACAATATTCTTCACTTCTCTCATACTGGCACATCTTGTATTGAATGTACTCTACCTTCCATTTATTATCATTGGATTAGCTGCTGAAGAATGGATCTTTGGTGGCACAGATGAGGAGAAGAGAGGAACATGTTACTTCAATGATTTTATTTATTGGTGGATGGTAGTAGTCATATCATGGACACTAGCTGCTATATCATTTGATCGGTTTCTCTTTATTGTCAAACCACATCTTCACAACCGGTTCATGAGACCCTGGGTAGCTCTGATCCTCACTATTGCTATTTGGATACTGTCTGCTGTATTAAGTTCTATTCATGTTTTTGGTTTTCACTTGTATATCGACATTTGTTTTTCATACTCAGATAACATTGGTTTTAGAGTTTATTTCGTTCTTTTATCAGCTATTGTACTTGGGATAATATTCATCACTTCTCTTTGGACCTTTTGTTTCACTAGAAGGTTCTTTAAGGATCAGTCAGTGATAGCAGGAGAGAGTGTGTATGCTTCAAAAAAGAAGAGACTCTTTGGAATATTTGGATGCATGTTATTCTCCTATGGGATATGCTTTGTTCCTGGTGTCCTCTATTTCCTACTTCTTTTGTTTATTGATGTACCAATATGGTATATCATTGTGTCTATTGTTTGTTTCCTCTTCATTACAATAGCTAGTCCTGTTATCCAGTCATACTTCAGGCCTGACATTAAGAGTGTTCTTGTATCATGTTTCTTTCATTGCAATTGCAAATGCTACTAATTTTTTTACTTAGATTTTAATATTTTGTGACTAGATCTATTATAGTAATTCCTTTATATTATGTTCATTAGTAACTTTAAAAGTGCTTATTATTATTTTACAAATTTTTGTGAATCTCATAAATTACACCATTTTGTTACATAGTAATTTTTATGATGTTTTTTGATGCTCAGTGAACTAATAGGTTCAACAAAAATTAAGCTCCTGTCAATTTTAAGCCCTGATTTAGCATAACTTTAGTTGAAACAGTGGCAAACAGCAGTCAACAGTATTATAGCTATGGTAAACAGTGGTAAAATTAATATTGATAAACCTTGGTGGACATTGATAAACATTGGTAAACTGTGGTAAACATGGTAGCTAAAAATGCTAGAGTACTAAACATGTTTGTAATTGGCAATAAAATTGTAAATATCAGGTATTGGTATGGTGCTCAAGCCAAGCTTTGCTTTAGAAAGCTTGTGTTACTTTTCAGTCACATTGCATTGAAATAGATAGTATAGTACACTCATGGGTATGATAGGAGATACATGTACATACATATTTTATAGCTGGGTTATTTCATGACCTCTAATTTTCATTGTCTAAATTTTTATGGGAATTTGATTTTCAAAATTTTGTTACTTCTTTTGATGTTACTATAAATTCAAGAGTGCATTGTACATGTAATCTACTTTTGATTAAATTTAGTCGAATTAATTTTAGTTGATTTGAGCCTGCACAGAAAATTAATTCTACACGAAATGGACTAGCTTAGCTCACATTTTGTCTGTGTGGGGCTCACTCCAGTTAGTTATGTAGTCAAATACATTCTAAGCTTCAGTGGATGCATCTTATGATACCTTGTATAATGATATATATTAGCTTAATTTTGTTATTTTGCTCCTACTGTATTTAATATTCATAATGGAGACTCTTAAAACTAGTTGTAGGGCTTTCTTCATTGTAATGTGTACTGTGTACTTTTAGTCTAAATCATGTGTTGTCTTAGATGTTATACTATATAATACTGTATAAGTGGTTTTTTCGAGGGTTGAGGGTTGTAAATTTCCTGGATTCTCTCCTGATTCGCGAAAATAAAATCTGCGAAATCAATTTAATACGGTATCCGCATGGCACACGTGGTAGAATTCGTGAAATTAAAATCTGCAAATTAGAATTTTTGCAGATTTCAAAATATAATTCCCTTAAAAAAAACTACTTATATGGTATTTTTCTGTGTAACCTGAATTTGTAATGTGATAAAAGTTCTTTGTCCTCTTTAATCACGTCATGTTCTCATGATAATGGACTCCCAATTCAGTTTGAGTAATCCCACTATTGTTTTTGTTTCGATTTATTGGTTTTTGTGTTTTTTGTTTCCTATTTTGTGTGCTTTTGTTTGTTTGTAGGGTTTAGGTTCCTTTTTTTGTTTGTTATTGCTTATTATCAAAGTTGTTGCTATTATTGTAAATATTGTCATTCTTGCTGTCATTGTTTTGATATTGCTATTACTATTATTTTTGTTTTGGGATTTGTTTTATTGCTATAATAATAATTATTTTTATTATTAATTGTCCACTTATTTGCAGTCTTTGAATGTTGTGTCTAGTGCCTATGTACCTGAAATTGAAATTAGTTAAATTTTTTATAAAATAAGTGTTATTGTAATGTGCCTAAATTTGTTATAATAGGCTTAGTATTTTTTATTTGCATTGATCGAGTTGATGTCATTATAATGCTTTATGTATCATAAGTATCTGTGATTGTGTGGGAAAAAGTCAAGTGTTTTTGGCTTTAATTAGTTCACAAGCTATATGAATTTTAACATGGAAAGCAACTCTACCTTTTCTGATCAGTTCAGTGGTCCAGCATTAGCAGGAATTCTTATTGTTGAGATGATACTAGCTCTGATAGCTAATGGTGTGGTACTATCTATCACACTCTATCAAAGGAAGTCCTTGAAGCAACCATCAACAATGTTCTTCACTTCTCTCATACTGGCACATCTTGTAATGAATCTACTGAACCTTCCTTTCATTATCATTGCATTAGCTGCTGGTGAGTGGATCTTTGGTAGTACAGATGAGGAAAAAAGGGGGACATGTTACTTCAAAGATTTTATTTTTTGGTGGATGGTAGTAGTCATGTTAACAACACTAGCTGCTATATCATTTGATCGGTTTCTTTTTATCGTCAAACCACATCTTCACAAGCAGTTCATGAGACCCTGGGTAGCACTGACCCTCACCATTGCTATCTGGATACTGTCTGCTGTATTGAGCATTGTTCATCTCTTTGGGTTTCACTCGTATACTGATATTTGTCTTCCATCAACTACTGGCATTGGCTTCAGTGTCTATGCCATTCTTTTATCAGCTATTGTACTTGGGATAATATTCGTCACTTCTCTTTGGACCTTTTGTTTCACTAGAAGGTTCTTCAAAGATCAGTCAGTGATAGCAGGAGAGAGTGTTTATATCTCAAAAAAGAAGAGACTCTTTGGAATATTTGGAAGCATGTTACTCATCTATGGGATATGCTTTGTACCTGCTGTCCTCTACTTCCTGCTTCGTCTGTTTATTGATGTACCAATATGGTTTATCATTGTGGCTATCATTTGCTTCCACTTCATTACAGTCATCAATCCTGTTATGCAGTCATACTTCAGGCCTGAAATTAAAAGTGTTATTTTCACATGTTGTCCACTTCATATTTGTGTATGCTGCTAAAGTATGCTCATTTTTTAAATGTGCCATTTTTCATATTTTTGTTGTTGTGTTATACGTTTTTGATTATTTTTGCAGAGTGATATACTTAGGCATTAGTAAAATGGTGTTGTATTGATGATTTTTAATTGGCACTAAGTGTTACATGCATCTTGCCTAATGAGAAGATACGTAATACTGATAGGGTGCTATAAAATTATCATTGCCATCATAATCATCATTATTATTATTAAGCCACTCCAATTTTTTGCCATTTCTTTAGCAGGGCTTGAGCCTTTGCAGACAGATGATAATGTACAAATAAAAGCAATATCTTGTATAAAAAACAAATAATAAAATTATGAATTACTGATACAAATGTATGTTTAGGGGCAATGAAAAGCAATGAACCTTAATATTGCAATGGCATTATTAATTATTATATGATTTCTCATTTTGTCATTTTCCATACTCCTTGAACTACTCACTATACTCAGTGTTTATATTATTTTTTGCACTAGCTTTTACCACTAGTGGTGATGCAGTATTTCCATGACATTATCATTATACATACACTTAATGGTATATTGTAGGTATAATTGCTAATGGACCATTGTTATTCCAAAATAGGGATGACATGTGTACAGATGTCGTTTATGTGGGAGCGTGCTCCATTTAACAATCCATCAATTTCCTGTAATCCTATTATATAAAGATTCCATAAGACTTTTTATGTGTTCAGATAGCAATGGATAGCAACTACATGTATACCTTTTCTGATCAGTTCAGTGGTCTAGCAGTAGCAGCAGTTCTTACTGTTGAGATGATACTAGCTCTGATAGCTAATGGTGTGGTACTCTATCTATCACACTCAATCAAAGGAAGTCCTTGAAACAACCATCAACAATATTCTTCACTTGTCTCATACTGGCACATCTTGTATTGAATATACTGTACCTTCCTTTTAAATTTGTTGCATTACTTAATTGTTACTATAATCACCAATAACATCCCCAAAAAATAAACACAGCAAAGTTAGACAAGTCCTTTTCTTCTCAACTGTACCATTGTACTTGTTTGGTTATGGTCCTATTTCTGTTTCTTAATATCTTGTCATTTTACAATTATGTCTTTTTATTATCAGCAGGCCATGGGCTCCTGGTATATTATGATACTGGTAGAGGGTTTTCCTTGTTTCTTTATTTATCTTCACCCATATAGGATTGGTAATAATGTTGCTATGAATGTACTTCTTTTAAATAATTGTCATTGTTATTTTTGGCTACTAATTCATTTTATAAGGATGTATTAGATTAGTAAGATAAAAGTTTTTTAAGCCACTTGCAAAGAACTTGTGTGTATGCTGCCTTTAAATGGAAAACAACTTTACTCTGACTGATTACATTAGTGGTCCAGCAGTAGCAGCAGTTGCTATTGTTGAGATGATACTAGCTCTGATAGCTAATGGTGTGGTACTATCTATCACACTCTATCAAAGGAAGTCCTTGAAACAATCATCAACAATATTCTTCACTTCTCTCATACTGGCACATCTTGTATTGAACCTACTGTATGTTCCTTTTTTATCATTGCATCATGTGCTGGTGAGTGGATTTTTGGTAGTACAGATGAGGAAAAGAGAGGGACGTGTTACTTTGCTGCCTTGACTTTTTGGTGGATTCTACTAGTCATGCTTATGACACTAGCTGCTATATCATTTGATCGGTTTCTCTTTATTGTCAAACCACATCTTCACAAGCAGTTCATGAGACCCTGGGTAGCATTGACCCTCACCATTGCTATCTGGATACTGTCTGCTGTATTAGGCATTGTCCATATTTTTGGTTTTCATACATATATTCCTATTTGTCTTTCATCATCTGGTGGCATTGGCTTTGCTGTCTATATTATTCTTTTATCAGTTACTATACTTGGGATAATATTTGTCACTTCTCTTTGGACCTTTTTTTTCTCAAGAAGGTTCTTCAAAAATCAGTCAGTGATAGCAGGAGAGAGTGTGTATGCCTCAAAAAAGAAGAGACTTTTTGGAATATTTGGAAGCATGCTACTCATCTATGGGATATGCCATATACCTGGTATCCTCTACTTGTCACTTTATCTGTTGATCGATATACCAATGTGGTTGGAGTTAGCTGCTTTCAATTGTTTCCTCTTTATTACAATTGCTAATCCTGTTATGCAGTCATACTTCAGGCCTGAGATTCAGAGTGTTCTTTTGACATGTTGCCCAGTTCATTTTAAGTTTTGTGTGCACTGCTAAATCATTTGCTAATTTAAAAAAATTGTGCTATTTTTTATATTTTGTTGTGTTAATTATTTTAGTGAGTAGTACTTTAAAAATGACAAACATAAGCACTAGTATTAAAGTATTATATTGAATTGATTATTTTAATGATGTTAATTGTTACACATATCAATAATTTTGACCCATTTCTATTGAGAAGAGACATAATCCCAATAGGGTACTTATCATTATTGTTATTACTATTATTAGGCCACTTCAATTAAATTCATAGTTTTCCATTTCACAAGGAGAGCTTGCCTTCTGCAGGCATGTGATTTTGTTTGCATAGATCTATACTGTATTCAATAGTGTAATCTTGTAGAAATAATTAAAATAATATTATGAATTGCTGATACAACTGTGTTCTTGGTAACGAAAAACAGCAAACCTTAATATGGAAGGGCTTTATTACCACTCCCATTATTCAGTGTTTATATTATTTTTGCACTACCTTTTACCACTGGTGGTGATACCGTACTGTATATAGTGTAAAAATTTTTGAGGGCTGTAAATTTAGCAGATTTTGTGATTTTTTAGCATTCGCAAAAATTACTTCCGTGAAAATTAAATTATTAGGGCACAAGATGGCAGACGGTATAAATTTGCAAAACTTAAATCCACGAAATAGATTTTTAGGCAAATTTGCCAAAGTTTTAAGCACTTGAAAATTTTGTGCTACACGGTATTTCCATGACAGCATTATCACACATGCATACAGAAAGTAACACTTAATTGTACATTGTAGTTAGCAGATGTACTCTTGATTTTATGACTAATGTACCATATTATAGGGACAACATAAATGTACATGTACATATATCATTTAATTTCCTGACTCATTCTATTATATAAACATGTAAAATTTACTGATAAGACTACAGTAAATGTTCAGATAGCAATGGAAGGCAACTATACCTTTAATCAGTTTGGTAGTCCAGCAGTTGCAGCAGTTTTTATTGTTGAGATGATACTAGCTCTGATAGCTAATGGTGTGGTACTATCTATCACACTCTATCAAAGAAAGTCCTTGAAACAACCATCAACAATATTCTTCACTTCTCTCATACTGGCACATCTTGTATTGATTCTACTGAACCTTCCTTTCATTATCGTTGGATTAGCTGCTGGTAAGTGGATCTTTACTGGTTCAGATGAGGAGGAGACAGGTACTTGTTACTTTGCTCTTTATATTTTTTGGTGGATGGTACTAGTCATATCAACAACACTAGCCGCTATATCAGTTGATCGGTTTCTCTTTATTGTCAAACCACATCTTCACAACCGGTTCATGAAACCCTGGGTAGCACTGACCCTCACCATTGCTATCTGGATATTGTCTGCTGTATATACCACTTTTTATATTTTTGGACTCGACTTTGACCTCTATCAGTTTAATTCTTCATTTTGTTTCCTACCAAGTAGTTCAAGTCGTGGTTTTTTGGGTATTTTTGCAACAATTATTATACTTGGGATAATAGTCGTCACTACTCTTTGGACCTTTTGTTTCACTAGAAGGTTCTTCAGAGATCAGTCAGTGATAGCAGGAGAGAGTGCATATACTTCAAAAAAGAAGAGACTCTTTGGAATATTTGGAAGCATGCTACTCATCTATGGGATATGCCTTGTTCCTGCTTTCATCTACTCTCTACTTTATCTGTTTATTGATGTACCAATATGGTTCATCATAGTTGGTACTATCTGCTTCCTTTTTATTACAGTAGCTAATCCGGTTATCCAGTCATACTTCAGACCTGAGATTATGAGTGTTCTTGTATCATGTTGTCCTTTTAAACTTCGTGCATGCTGTTAAAGCAACAGTGATATCATTTGTCATATGTTATTGTGTTTTATCTTTTCAATTATTTTAAAGTTTCAGTTAAAAATAATGTAGCTAGCCACTAGTAAAGTGATATTAATGGTTTTTAATGACATTAACTGTTAATTGCATCATAATGGGTACTTATTGTGTTTACCAATGGTTTTGGCCTATTCCTAATGGAAGAGACATAATGATGTATTATGCATATAGGATACTACGAGATTACAATAATAATTTATTTTATTGTTATTTTTTTCTTGTTTAGTGCTGAAAAGGAAGTCCCTGTCATTCATATTTATGATGGAAGAGGGGAAAATAAAGAATTAACGGCATTAAGTAATATTCACAACTCTCCAATACTCTTCATGAAGGTATTGATGCTAATTATTTCTTTTCGTCTTACTCCCTATGTCATGTGCCTTTGTCTTATGTGTTTTTGTTGTTAATTTTGTTATCCAAACATAGTAATGATGGCATACATGTAATACTTGTATTCATCAGAATGGCTGGAAGGGAAATCTTTCATATAAATGTCCTGATATTAGATTCTTCAATTTGCTTAAAAGTTTAGCCAAGAGTGCACTGGGTGCTTCATTCTTTGATCTTGTTTTTTTATGCCCCTCCTATTCCCCTCAAAAGTTCCCTTTTTTTCTCTTTTTATCCATACCTTTTTTTATCTTTTTGTCTCTCACACACTTCCTTCCCCCCTCTCTCTCCCTTCAGTATAACAGTCATTATGATGTCATAGTCTCAGCTGATTCTACTGGTATGTTAGAGTACTGGTCAGGCTCCACTTACTCGTTTCCAAAAGCTGTGAAATTTGAATCAAAACTTGATACTGATCTCTATGAATTCATTAAGGTAATCAAGTTATTAATGCCACATCTCTTCCTAATTAACTAGTTAAGGATGTTTTATGAATAATTTTTGTGTTTAGCACAAGACAACACCCACTTCTCTTGTCTTCTCTCCAAACGGAAAATTATTTGTATCAACTTGTCATGATAGGAAGGTAAAGAAATCATTTATTAGTTAAAAACTCACTTATTTTGTGTATGTTTGTGAGTCAAAATGTATGTAAATGCACATTATTTGTATGAAGAAATACACAATATACAATCTTCCATTCTGCAAATCCATCCACCAATTATTTTCACCAATATTGTCTGCCATATATACATGTAATTATGATGTTTTATGAACTGAATAATTTCTTGATTTTTTAGGTGAGAGTATTTCATTTCTTAACTGGTAAACTACATAGAGTGTTTGATGAGTCCTTGGATATTTTCACACAGCAGCAACAAGTATTAATAACCAGTGGGTGGTGCTTATATTAATCATGTGATCATTACCATAGGCAACCCCTCAGTTAAGTAATATGGAGTTTGGTAGGAGGCTGGCAGTTGAGAGAGAATTGGAGCGATCACCGTCTTATTACCTCACTAATGCAAGTATGAGATTTATAACAAAAGGCTATGATAATAATGCTAATGGACTGGTGATATGAATGATAATAAGTAACATAACCTCATTCTGTCCTGTCTATCTATTGGTTGTTTGCTTTTGTCTAAAGTGAATACATGTATGATAACAGAATTAACATTTGTCATTACAAAGCGGAAATAAAGTCTATATGCCATGATGTAATTACATGTATTTATAATTTTTTCTTTCTCTAGTATTTCTGATATACATGTATGTATTCTCCTTTTTTCTCTTGCATTTAGTTTTTGATGATAGCAGTAATTTTATTATTTATTCTACAATGATGGGAATCAAAGGTACAGCATACAGCAATACATTCACATGACTTGATTGACCTATTAGATCAAATACTTTCTAAACAGATGTTCACGATCAATTATGTTTTTTCTTTTTTTCTTATTTTCTTTTGTCTCCAGTTATTAATCTAGTGACTAATAAATGTGTTAGAGTGTTAGGCAAGGTACAGTTTGCATACATTCATGAAAGTATTGAATATAAGCAGGCACATACATATATCATGTAGCTACCTTTTTGTAAACACTTGCAAAAAAACATGATCAAAAATAATGATAATTCATTTTATAAGCCAGAAAGTATGAGGGTATTTGTATTTCTATATACATGCACATCTCAAGTACATGTACATTGTACATGTACATTATAATTCCAAATAATTATGCTTATAATGTGCTGTATAGGAGGAGAATGCACGTTTCATTCAATTGGCATTGTATCAAGGGAAAGTTGGAAAGAAGAAAGCAGTTAGTATTGTAAGTTATAACATAGTTGTACATGCATACATGTACATTTGTATTATAGTACAGGGTATTTTTGAGAAATTAGCTTGTTTTAAAAATGGTCATGCATTTAACTAAAAAAAAATTTATGATCAGAATGCTCAAATTTTCTACACAGCATAATGACATCAACATGTATCAGAAATAAATATTGGTGATTTTGGAACCTATGAAAATTTGTACATCCACCTTTGCATTGATAATTTTAATGAATTTTTAATACTTTATCAATCTATTGTACTTTGCATCTATTTCAATGCAAGTACATCTTTTTGCTCTCTGTCTCTCACTTTAATTGTTACTATAACAGCTTTGAAATTTGTCAAATTGCTGATAGTTTTGAATTTATGGCCTTGTCCTATTAAACATTATTAGTTAAAAATTGATTTCAAATTTACTACCTTTTAACCCCTAATTCCTTTATCATTTCATTGTCCTTTACAATTATTTCCTCCTTTCCTTCAACAGGAGATGGAGGTGTCTGATAATCCTGGTCTACTCAAAGACACATCTGACCCCACATTGATATGTACTGCTTACAAAAGAAACAGGTTTTACATGTTTAGCAGACGAGACCCTGACGACAAGAAAGGGTTAGAAATATGATTACATGTGATGTACATTGCATATACTAGTAGGACATATACATGTGTGTAATTTACCTTTTCTCTCTCCCACTCTCCATTCATCCCCGGCCCTTTTAAACTTTGTTTCTTCCTTTTTTGTTTCTTCTTTCCCTCCTTCCTCCTGTCTTTCTTCTAGAACTGAAGATGAGAGAGATGTGTTCAATGAAAAACCATCCAAAGAGGAAATGATGGCTGCTACTCAGGTGGGTGGAGTCTTACTTTACCATGGTTATTTATGTATTGTGTAGTCCTCAAGTACATCCCGAGTTAGTTCAACGGCTGTGATGCACACTACACTTGGTGACATTCATCTTAAACTCTTCCCGGAATAGTAAGTTATGTACATGTACATGCATATCAATTTACAGTTTATATTTACATGGGTATACATGTACATTATAACTGCAACATCGTTATCGTTTCTTTTTCCTGTTTCTTTCCATTTCTTTACCACTATGCTCTTTCTCCTTCTTTCTTACTTGGCTTATGTCTTATTTTTTTTACTAGTTGTCCTAAAACAGTTGAGAATTTCTGTGTTCATGTCAGTAATGGCTATTATAATAATCACATATTCCACAGAGTTATTAAATCATTCATGATACAAACTGGGGACCCTACAGGTAACGAAGGAAGAGGGAGAGAGAAAGGTGGGATGTTATGGAAAAGGGAGAGAGGAAGAAGCAGAAGGAGAAAGGGAATAGAGACTGTGAGAGGGAGAGAGGGAGGAAGAAGTCAGAGTGACTCACATTACATTTAAACTGCATTTTTGTCAGGTACTGGTACAGGTGGTACTTCTATTTGGGATGGAGAGTTTGAAGATGAGTTCCATCCAAGTCTTAAGCATGACAGACCATATACTCTCTCAATGGCTAATGCTGGCCCTAATACTAATGGATCACAATTCTTTATTACTGTTGTGCCCACTGTAAGCCTATACCCTAGTACTATACTATGACTGTATGTACATGTATGTATACTTGTTGGTAGCACATCACTTATACATGACATATATATATATATATATATATATACTGTGGTCATAGGGGAACTAATGTTTACAAAAGTATTGTCCTTTGTGTTATTGTTATGAGATCAAATTACTGACATTCCAACACTTGGTGTTAAACATACTCTACTATTTTTTATGCTAGTAAATTATGCAGTAGCTCAATTATGCTTATTTTTATAATCTGTCTTACCCACAGTCATGGCTAGATAACAAGCACACTGTTTTTGGGAGGGTGTTTCGTGGAATGGATGTTGCCCAGAAGATCAGTGAAGTCAAAACTGACCCAAGGTCAGACAAACCTTATGATGACATAAAAATAATGAACATTACTTTAAAATGAATGTATACTTTATGTAATAATGGTTGGTATCTTAATAATAATTTTTGACATCTTGCGGTTAATTTTTTTAGTTCATTTAAATCATTGTAAAATAAATTATGTACTCCTATTATAAAAAGCTATTCTAGTGCTTCTTGAATCATAAATTATGATAAATACACCTTAATTGACTAATGAGCACTAGTCTTAATCATGAGCTTCAGAGAAATTGATTAACCAATCAACAGATTCTCAGCATTGCACAAGATGGAGCTTTAGGCCTCAACTACCTGTGTAAGCCTCAGCCTATTGTTTACAGTTATGTCAGCAGTCCTAACATAATATTATTAATTAAAGCCTTGTGCTGGACCTGCTGGTTATGAATATGAAGCTAAAGTAGAACAGATTATGTTACAGCTAAGGCACTACTATTATGCTAGGCAATGTGGCATACCGGTATGTTGCATGTGAAGCTTTTAATCCTGATCAACACAGTCCAGCAATGGATGTCTACATGCAGTTACTCTGTTCTTTTTATGAAAATGATTTACATTCTCTACCAGAAATGATGACAGCATAGATACAGCCCATAATGAAAGTGCATGAAAATCTGCATGTTACTGTCTCTTGGTCTATTATGAAGTCTCCCATACAAAGAGGGCTTAAATAGTAAATTTAGAGATTGTTCTAGTATGGCTCAAGCTGTGTTATTGGAAAGGATGAAGACTGTATGTATGTATAGTTCATGCATTTTGGTGCTTCCTTTTTCTGTTGATTAAATTTTTTCACCACACTATCTAAATTGATGATCTCACAGATAGTTGATGGTCCATCCCACACATAGCCATATTCCAATAAATGTTGGATCAGCAAAGATGGATTGTCCAAGATTTTTGTATCGAGCTGTATCAGTACGTGATTCACTGTATGTGTGGGGTGGTTTAAATTTCGAGTTTTACCATGATCCAGCAGCAAATGATGTGTTCACTAGTACTATACAGCACTTTACTCCTTCAACTGGTCAATGGATCACTAGAGATACTAGTGGTACTCCTCCATTAGGAATTTGGGCACACTGCTGTACTGCAATAAATCATCAATTATATTATTTTGGGGGAACATCACAGAGTGAGTCACATTGTAATGAAAGCTGTTTTTATAACAGTATTACACAACTGGATACCGTTAGTCTTCAATGGAGAGAATTAGAGCCAACTGATGCAACTAGACCAGTTATGAGGAGATGTTTTGGTGGAATGATATCATTTGAACATGATGGAGTACACCATTTACTAATGATAGGAGGACAAGGACCAAAACCAACTTTCCAGCTACCAGATTATAGATATGAGTTACCGGCATCTTTGGCTAAAAAGAATGGAGAGGAGTGGCTTACTAATGAACATTCACTGTATAATTTATCGCTGAGTAAGACATTATATTCTTTGGCATTGTGTTGATTTTAGTTTTTTATTTCAAAATAGGAGAATGGAGTAATCCCTCAGTCATTGGTCAGTGTACACTATGGCCTGCTTCTTTTTTTGTCATTGAAAAAATCAATAACACTAGAGCTGTTGTGTTTGGTGGATGTGATTCTGAAGATGAGGATGCTATTACTAACAATATTTATATATTAGAGATACATGTATCAACCAGCACTGTGGTATGTTGCATGTAATGATTGCACTATAATAATTTAGATGAGCAAGTTTTGACAAATTTTAGTGGTTGGTGGTTTTTAATTTGGCAATATGCCAATTTTACCAAATTCTAACCCCTTTAAAATCAATTATCCACTCTAGATCTGATGGTTTATTTCTATTTATTAGTTCTGGCAGTGTATCAAGAAATCTGAAGCAATAGACCAATGGCCTGCTGGTAGATTTCTTCATGCAGGTGCTGTTATTGTAACTGAATTAGACTGTCCTATGCTAGTGATAAGTGGTGGTTGGGATAAGAAACAAGATGTATTAGATGACTGTTGGATTTTTAACATCACTCAACATTCCTGGATAAAGGTATGTGTGTAGTGAGTCACATATATGTAACTATTAATTTATTTCTATTATCAGTTAGATGTACCTCATTCTGTTAGTAAGAGATTGGCTCATTCTCTCTCAGTGTTTGTTACGAGTCCTCATTGTGTTTGGATAATGACTGTTGGAGGGCTACGTAAAAATGAAATGATTACTCATCATATGTCAACTGAACTAGGTTAGTGCACAATTATCATTGCACAAAGTCACTTACATTTGTATTAAAACCATATTGTGGATGTATTCTATTAGAGCTTAATTTCATTTCTTACCACGTGGAATGAATATTTTTCAAACTAAAAAGGCATTCCCTCAATGCCACATGTATAAAATGGCTGCTCAAAACAAAAATAAAATGAATGAAAATTTCTAATCCTATTAAGAACAAACATTTTCTAAAACAATATATACCCACTATACAGTAGAGCATGTGCATAATTTTAAAAGGTTGGCCTTTATGTTTGTCACAGGAATTAAAAATTTTGTTTTTGTAATTGTAGTGTCTGTAGTTTAGGTTAATGAATATGATTTACATACTTATTGTAATAGTGATACATTGATGTGTAGCAAATGATAATTAATGTACCAGTACATGCTTATTATTATAAATTCAAATTATTAGTTTTCAACAGTAAAGGGGAGTGTCTAGTAGGTGATACATATGATTCAAGTGATTACAAGCAAGTGAAGCAACTACAGTTAGGAAGAAGCCTATGTTTGGAGGAGCACCATAAACCAAGCAGAGATTCCGTTCATATTGAATCAACCATACAAGCCCTTATGAAAAGTCTCGATGAGAAGAAAAGAGAAGTTCAAATTTTTCATCAGCAAATAGAGGAAAAGGAAAGAGAACAAGCAGAGAAAGAGCAAGAAATTAGAAGATATTGTCATCGACTACAAGAGATGGAAAGGGAGAAACAGGAGGCACTGCTGGAAAAGGACAGAGAGTATCAGGTGGTTCTACAGGAGAAGGATAGGGAGGTACAGGAGAAGGATAGGGAGCTGCGACAGTCTCAAGAAGCAGTTCGTAGATACCAGCAACAAGCACTTACTGATGATTACTGGGTTATTAATAGAGATGAAGTAACTTTGACAGAGGAGGAGTTAGGAAGAGGATCTTTTGCTGTTGTTACAGTTGGTATTTTTAGAGGTTTAAGAGTAGCTGTAAAGTCGCTTCATGCTATCATCATCTCAGATTATAATCAAAGTATTTTCTTCAGGGAAATGAGCATAGCATCACAAGTACGCCATCCTAACCTGGTCCAGTTTATTGGTGCAACTAAAGTGGGTAATCCTCTCATTTTGACGGAGCTGATGAGCACTAGTCTTAATCAGGAGCTGCAAAGAAACCGATTAACCAATCAACAGATTCTCAGTATTGCACAAGATGTAGCTTTGGCCCTCAACTACCTTCACCTGTACCTTCACCTGTTTAAGCCTCAGCCTATCATTCACAGAGATGTCAGCAGTCCTAACATATTATTAAATCCTTCCACTGGACCTGCTGGTTATGAAGCGAAAGTAGCAGATTATGGTACAGCTAAATTGCAACAAGGCACTAGTACTGGTACTGTAATGCCAGGCAATGTTGCATATGCTGCACCAGAAGCTCGTGATCCTGATCAACATAGTCCAGCAATGGATGTCTACAGTTACTCTGTTCTCCTTATGGAAATGAATTTATGTTGTCCACCAGAAATGACAACAGGAGGGAGATGGCAACAAACTTGTAGTGTCTCCTCGTCTGATATGAAGTTTCTCATACAAAGAGGACTTCATACAAGATATAGAGCTCGTCCTACTATGGCTCAGGTAATAGAAACATTAAAAAGGATAAAATTTTATTAATGATTAAGCAATTTATGCTGCTTTGCACCTATAATGCATAATTGTTTCTCATTCTCTGTTTTTGATTACAATGCATATTTATTGTATGCTGAATTAAAATGCTACTAAGTAGTTTGTTTTCAATTTTCTGAGAAGTATAGATTTATAGACTCTAATGCTACATTTATAATGACAATCGTGCTTAGTCGTGCAGGCATCCTTATGATAATAGTAAAATAAAACATGCTACAACAACAATCAAAACGAGAAGATATTACTTAACACTATAACTAACACTAAAATAACTAATACTATTATCAGAACCAGTAACACACATCTTCAGTTGAATCAAATTTTAGTTTATCATACAGTTGGCGCACTCTCTATGATTTCTGCTCAAGTTATCTTTTAATACTAGAATAGCTACTCTTGTACTTGCTGCCCAATCCCCTACAGTTATTTGGGGGGGGGGGGTCTGAGCAGCCAGCGAGGCCTCATTGACATGAATCAGTTGTGTGCCATTGGGGTGTAGTGAGAAACCAAATTGGAGACAAAGAAGCCACGTAAACTCCACCGCTGTATAACCCTAGAGGTATAAGCTTGCTGTTAGCTCAAAAGATTTTTTCTATTTGGTTTCATTAGATTGGGGTGCTATAGCCTCCTTTTATATGACATAAGAAGCAACAAAAGGAACTTTAAGTTATTAGTATGCTTTTGTCTAAAAGAAGAGCATGAAATCTCTTTCAAATCTGCCAGTTCATTCTTTTGCTACACTGAGCAGCAGGGACTGCATCAGTGAGATTGGGTGCTAATTTGCTTCATGAACTGTTTTTCAATGGAAGTTGCTAATGTTGAAAACATTGTTTCATCTTTAATTTTCACTCATTTAAACTACTTGGCTCAGATTAGTAAGATTTGTTACTTCTTTATAGTAGTGGTCTACATTGTACAAAAGTTACATTTTCATTATGGTTCTGATATGTTGTTCTTACCTAATGTGAGCTGATTTTGATCAAAAATTAGTTGAAAGACTATGAAATACACTATTATTGTAAGTACAGGGATAAAAATTTAATTTTAATCAAAATTAAGTTGGTCCAAATTTTGGGCGAAGATTGTAAGTAAGTCTACTAGTAGTACAAGGTATTTTGTTAAAGATTGCTGACTACTTTTGTTGTGTAGAAAGTTTATGCTGATTATTGTATTTTTATGAATTTTTAAAGTGGCAAAGTCCTTATAGTACAAGTGGTCTCGGGCAAAATTTAAAAGGTGAGGATTTTTTATTTTTCTGCTAGCTATATAGATCTACATGTAGTATGTTGCATAAAAAGCTAGTTAAGACAAGTTTATTTTAGCAATGTTTTGGTCAGTGAAGCAAAGGTATGATACGTAAAGCTATTTTGTTGTCAGCGAATTTGGTATATGTTCACTGAAAGCAGAAAGGGTGCTTATTTCAAGTTTTTAAAGCATTGCTGCATTAATTCCTCATTTCAAGAATAATTTTGAGAATAATAGTAATCAATTATTGAAAAGAATAATTGAACAATCATTATGCACTAAAGCAAAGCATAATTACAAAAATTGTGAATATAATTATTATTCTCAGGCCTAATGTACAGTACATGCAGTTACTTTGGCCAAATTTGTTGAAAATGGCAAGGAGAGAGAGACTTCTTTTTCCTGATATGTATACATATACTTATGCTGTGTAGAATGTTTAAGCTGATTCTGATCAAAATTTGATTTCTTAAAGCTGTTCAAAATTTGGGTGACCCTGTACTACATGGTGTTTGCATGGCTACATTTCATCAAAAATCACTTAATCAATACGGTTTTTTCCACTTCTTACATGATACATATACATGACCTTAATTATGTCAAGTGGAAACAAGATATTATATGATTGGAATAAATGGCCTAATAATAATAAAGAATTATTATCATTAATATTTGGTCTTTGTTCTTTATGAATCAGTTATGAAAACCTTCTGTTAACTTCAATTCAATGTATAAAAAGAGTTACATGCACCGTGATGTCAATAGGCACACCCACACAATTAATTGGACATGTATGTAACATGTCTTAATTATGAGTCATAATTAAGACATGTTACATACACGTCTAATTAATTGTGTGGGTGTGCCTGGATTCTGTGAAAGGTGTGGCTTATTTTGTTGATCTGACTACTAGTATTGACGGTCACATCAAGGTTTAGAAGAAAAAAGGAAGCAATTGAGTTTATGGAACATTTCCGGTTGCATGCATACTAATTAGGTATGTACATATACGTGTGTACATGTACATGTTTGTATAAGATTGTCATCATGGAATTTCTTTTCCATTTCCCTTCCCCTATTCTCTCTTCCTTTTTAGGCAAAAGAGAATCAGTAATAATGAATTATTATTATAAGCACAGCTAAACCTAATAAAGTTTCAATTTTGGTAAATAATTATATGCACGTATGTGTAGATGTATCTGTATTATTTCTTTACCTCCATTTTATTTATTTTTGTCTCTTTTTATCTCCATTTTTTGTCTGTCCCTTTATTTTTCTCTCTTTTTCTCTTATTTTCTTTATCATATGATCACTATTGTTTAAGTTAGCATGCTCCCTTTGTAGCTGAGAGGGGATATATTCAGGAGGCATAGCAACACCAGCTTTAGAGAAAGGAAGGGAGAGGAAGGAAGAGAGGAGTAAGTAAATGAATTAAAATGTTCACATACACAGTCATTATTATATAAAGCTCGTTTTTGCAAATTTCAGGATTACGTATCATTTTATTATATGCTAGAATCAATTAATGAAGCTACTATTTCGCCAAAATTTTTTCTGTTATCATTGTGAATTATGTGCATGCCTGCAGGTTTATGCTATGAGATTGAGAATGCACTTGATGCATCCAGTGATACTAAATATGAAACAAATAAAAGAAATACTCACACTCACATCACCAAAATACAAGTTATTTAAAAGTTAATAATTAAACATTGTAAGTATGATACTAATTTAATGTAAACAAAAGAACAAAATTAATTATGACACAACTTTGATCAAGTTTCAGCAGTGCACACAAAAGTGAAGAGGAAAACGTGACACAAGAACACTCCTTATCTCAGGCCTGAAGTATGACTGGATAACAGGACTACCCACAGTAATGAATAGGAAGCAAAGAGTAGCCACTGTATTAAACCACAATGGTACATCAAAAAACAAAGAAAATAAGAAATAAAGGACACCAGGTATATAGCATAGCCCATACATGAGTAACATGCTTCCAAATATTCCAAAGAGTCTCTTCTCTTTTGAGGCATACACACTCTCTCCTGCTATCACTGACTGATCTTTGAAGAACCTTCTAGTGAAACAAAAGGTCCAAAGAGAAGTGACGAATATTATCCCAAGTATAGTAACTGATAAAAGAAAATAATAAACACCAAAGCCAATACTCTCTGAATATGAAATACAAATGGAAACATACAAATGAAAACCAAAAACATGAACAGAACTTAATACAGCAGACAGTATCCAGATAGCAATAGTGAGGGTCAGTGCTACCCAGGCTCTCATGAACCGCTTGTGAAGATGTGGTTTGACAATAAAGAGGAACCGATCAAATGATATAGCTGCTAGTGTGATGGATATGACTAGTAGAATCCACCAAAAAGTAAAATCAACAAAGTAACATGTCCCTTTCTTCTCCTCATCTGTACTACCAAAGATCCATTTTTCAGCAGCAAATGCAATGATGAAAAAAGGAAAGTACAGTAGATTCAATACAAGATGTGCCAGTATGAGAGAAGTGAAGAATATTGTTGATGGTTGTTTCAAGGACTTCCTTTGATAGAGTGTGATAGATAGTACCACACCATTAGCTATCAGAGCCAGTATCATCTCAACAGTAAGAACTGCTGCTACTGCTGGACCACTGAAATCACTAGTATAAGTATAGTTGCTTTCCATACCCTCTGTTTCTCCTATAACTTGTAGTACATACAGTATTTAAACTACTTTCATGTAAAAGAAAACAGTAAACTGTTATCTCATATTTATTATTGAAAACTAATTATGATGATAACATTACTCATTACGCTGAATGTATACAATAAAGACAATACATGCACCAACAGTACCATGAAACTAAAAGAATAATGTATCAATAATACAGTAATATCAGTGGATGCAAACAAAGCTTTGATAGTGCAAGACATAACATAAATACACGTATAATTTCAGTGTGTACGTACATATAACTCAAATTTTGTAAAGGAGAAAGAAAGAGTATACTACAAGCACTTTATAAGGATAAGTGAGAAAACAATCAATGTATAGCATGTAGACAATCAATGATTAAGAACGGCTGTTGTACTTGCTTTACTGATGGTGCATTTTATTTACAACAGGCTAATTAAAATTTCTTAACATAAGTATAAAAACAAGACAAAATGATGTGACTAAAAAGTAACACAAGTTTTCTAAAGCAAAGTTAGGCTTGAGCATCATAAAACATGTGAAAAGGATGTAACACAAAAAAGATGAAAGGCATTAATCTATTAATTTTGCTTGGCAAGGAATATCTGCTCAGTTACATTGCTATCAAGATATATTAATACTTACTACTGTATACCATGTTAAGATAATTATGATGTAGTGCTCCACTTATTTAAAGGTAATAGTTACCAAAGTATGCTGATATATGTAATATTTATATCATACCGTTACCTGATATTAACTATTTTGTTGCCAGTTGGAATGCATGTTTACAACTCTAGCATGTTTAGCTACCTTGTTTATCATTATGATAGTTGCCAAGGTTTATCAATGTTCACTAAGGTTTATCAATGTTTACCACTGTTTACCATATTTTGCTGCTGTCTATCGCTGTTTACCGCTGTTGCCACAGTTCATTACCAAATTTTTTTGTCACGCCAATATATCTCTTTCCATTTATAGTATGGCTAAATCACGGTCTAAAATTTACAGGAGCTTAATTATTGTTGAACCCATTAGCTCACTGAATATTAAAAAACATCATAAAAACTATATAACCGAATGGTGTAATTTACAATGTACACAGAAAATTGAAGTAATAATAAAGATGATACAAATAAAAGAAATTAGTCACAACTCATAAAAATCTAAGTAAAAAAATTTATCAGCATTTGCAATTGCAAAGAAGGAAACATGATACAAGAACACTCTTAATCTCAGGCCTGAAGTATGACTGGATAACAGGACTGGCTATTGTAATGAAGAGGAAGCAAATAATAGCCACAATGATAAACCATATTGGTACATCAATAAACAGAAGAAGCAGGAAGTAGAGGACACCAGGTACAAAGCATATACCATAGATGAGTAGCATAGCTCCAAATATTCCAAAGAGTCTCTTCTTTTTTGAGGCATACACACTCTCTCCTGCTATCACTGACTGATCTTTGAAGAACCTTCTAGTGAAACAAAAGGTCCAAAGAGAAGTGATGAATATTATCATAAGTACAATAGCTGATAAAAGAACGAAATAAACTCTAAAGCCAATGTTATCTGAGTATGAAAAACAAATGTCGATATACAAGTGAAAACCAAAAACATGAACAGAACTCAATACAGCAGACAGTATCCAAATAGCAATGGTGAGGATCAGAGCTACCCAGGGTCTCATGAACTGCTTGTGAAGATGTGGTTTGACAATAAAGAGAAACCGATCAAATGATATAGCAGCTAGTGTGATGGATATGACTATTACCATCCACCAATAAATAAAATCATTGAAGTAACATGTCCCTCTCTTCTCCTCATCTGTACTACCAAAGATCCATTCTTCAGCAGCTAATCCAATGATAATGAATGGAAGGTAGAGTAGATTCAATACAAGGTGTGCCAATATAAGTGAAGTGAAGAATATTGTTGATGATTGTTTCCAGGACTTCTTTTGATAGAGTGTGATAGATAGTACCACACCATTAGCTATCAGAGCTAGTATCATCTCAACAGTAAGAACTGCTGCTACTGCTGGGCCACTGAAATTGCCAGTAAAGGTGAAGTTTCTTTCCATATCCTCTTTATGCTGTTCTGTTTTTCCTTTCTAGCTACAACCACTGTAACTTATAGTGTAGTGGTTAATTAGGGTCAGAGTACACTATTTACTATTCAACAGATTAACCTTTAGATAGTAAGGTCACTTGTATGTACCATACAAAATGTGTATTGACAATTAGATCATAGTATCACTACACACAAGTTTACTACAAACTGTAGCAGTTTTAGCTATCTACTATAGAACTTTCTCCTACTTGTGTACATTATTCTGGAACGTTCTTTATAGTATTTTAAGTGATGATTTTAAACATTCCTTGATTCTTGGTTCATTTTTAGTGTTGTTTAAATAATAAATCTGTCAATGCTTATTTCAAAATTGTAATACAAAATTAAAAACATGAAAATTTGCTAACAATAAAATTATTGTATAGACATGCATGTAGATATACACAGAAAAATGAAGTAACAAAATAATTATAATAAATTCTGTCATTTCCTTTATTTTGTCATACAAATTTAAAAAATATCTATTACCAATGTTAAGATAAGCTCCACTCAGTAGAAACTTTAATCAGACTGTTGTGAGTTATGCATCCTTTATAAAATCCATTATATTATACAAAATAGCGCTACACAAGTACCACAACAATAAAATGACAGTCACAATTGCATTCAAATAAACATAGTTCTTGCCTGCGATAATTGCTAGCAAGGCCAATAACAACTCTACGTACATGTATAAATCAGGAATGGGGTCAAATACTACATTAATGTTACATATGATAGCATCTACAGCTAAAAATCAGCTTGGGTAACTTCTAGTAATAAGGAAAATCCGATTTCTTTTTGTTAATCACCTTCATGATTCTGTTTGAAATATTATATTAGAATACTGCTACATTGAAATAGATTGTAGTACACACTGGACATGACCAAAGATGCACATATGTACATACATGCATATAGAGTGATGGATTTTGACTATAGAGGGCTCGCTCGGGCTTGTCCCAATAAATTGTTTACAGTCAAATACATTCTAAGCTATAGCATCTTATACCATGTATATTTTTAAGTCTAAATTTTGTATTTTGCCCATATTGTACTGTATGTATAATAGAGACTCTGAAGACTAATTGTAATCTTTAGAGCTTTAAAATTAATACTTCATTATAATGTGTACCGTGTACTTTTAATGTAAATTATTTGTTGTCTTAGATGTTATGATACTTAATATTGTGCTGTGTAACCTGAGCTTTTATTTGTATTTTAATAATTGTCCACAGATTTGTAGTCATAAATATACTCTGCTTGAATGTTGCACCCTATAGCACCTTAATTGTTATTGTAATTATAGATTTAACTAAAATTGAAAATTTTTAACAGTTAATGCTTTCGTAAAAAGGAATGTTATTGTAAAGTGTCTTTGTTATATAGGCTTTGAGTAATGCATCAATTTTTGGACAAATTTTAACATTGGACAACTGTTTATAGTAATAGTTGTACTTTGTTTGCATTATAAAATTGCAGTAAGACTACGTCAAAAGTTATCAGCTTGCAGTCAACAATATATTACTTTTAATCAGTGCAAAAAATAGTTTTAGAAGGTCACTATGATATCTTTTTGAGCCTATCCTTAACAAAAAAAGGCAACTTATATGTATCACAATAATTATACTGACAAAATTTACCAAATATGTGAAAAGTAGCTGATTACACTTATTTTACATGTTATGTTAATTTTTGTATATTTTTGGTAAATTTTGTTGATATAATTATTTTGATGCATTTAAGTTCTATTAGTTGTCATTTTCTTTGTCAAAAATACTGTTGCAAATTGTGGTTTCAACTTGTTTAGTACTGATGCACTCCAATGCTCATAAAGTGATTCAAACTATCTTTGTGATCTTGTATATTTTAATAGTATTCAAATCCAGCTACGATTGGTTATCTATTGAATGTCGAATGACTAGAATCAGTTTCAAACTGGTTTAATGCACATTAAAAGCACTAGTATAGGAAGGCCTTTAGTGTTGTTGTTCTTTGTAAAATTAATGGTTGTTTTGTGAAGAGTTATAGTAACTGTTATTTTTTGGGACAAAAGTCAAGTTTAGAATTGTCTGCAAGAAGAGCTTTTATCATAAATTTGAAATGGCAAGCAACTTTACATTTACTGGTGATTTTAACGTGCCCGCAGTAACAGTAATTTTTACTTTTGAGGTGATACTAGCTCTGACATGTTTTTGTTAGTGTTATTATTAGGCCACTCTAATTAAATTCATAGTTTCCCATTTTGTAGGGCTATTTTATCTGTATATACCGTTTGAAGGGCCTCTGACTGCATTCAATATTGTAATTTTGTTAAAATAATGAAGCTGATAGAAGTGTGTGTTTCAAGGCAATGAAAAGCAACTAACCTTTATATTGGAAGATTCAGTGTTTATATTTTTGTACTACCATTTACCACTGGTTATTGACAGCATTATCACACATGCATACAGTAATTAACACTAAATGGTACATTGAAGCAAGATTAGTTGATGGATGTCCTCTTAATTGTAGGTATATATTGCATTACTAATGTACTGTATTAGAGGGAGTACATATTTCTTTTAATTTCCTGTTATCATAAACATGTAAAATTTGCTGATAAGACTATTGTAAATGTCAAGATAGCAATGGAAGATAACTATACCTTAACTGATCAGTTCAGTGGTCCAGCAGTAGCAGCAGTTCTTACTGTTGAGATGATACTAGCTCTGATAGCTAATGGTGTGGTACTATCTATCACACTCTATCAAAGGAAGTCCTTGAAACAACCATCAACAGTGTTCTTCACTTCTCTCATACTGGCACATCTTGTATTGAATCTACTCTACCTTCCTTTTTATATCATTTCATTATCTGCTGGTGAGTGGATCTTTAATGGTTCAGATGAGGAGAAGAGAGGGACTTGCTACTTTGCTCTTTATATTTTTTGGTGGATGGTACTAGTCATATCAACAACACTAGCCGCTATATCATTTGATCGGTTTCTGTTTATTGTCAAACCACATCTTCACAACCGGTACATGAAACCCTGGGTAGCACTGACCCTCACCATTGCTATTTGGATACTGTCTGCTGTATATACCACTTTTTATATTTTTGGATTTCAATTTGACCACCATCAGTTTGATTCTCAATATTGTTCCCTACCGAGTAGTTCAAGTCGAGGTTTCTTTGGTCTTTTTGCAGCACTCATTATACTTGGGATAATATTTGTCTTTTCTATTTGGACCTTTTGTTTCACTAGAAGGTTCTTCAGAGATCAGTCAGTGATAGCAGGAGAGAGTGCATATGCCTCAAAAAAGAAGAGACTCTTTGGTATATTTGGAAGCATGTTACTCATCTATGGGATATGCCTTGTGCCTGCTGTCGTCTACTCTCTACTTTATCTGTTTATTGATGTACCTATATGGTTCATTATAATTGGTACTATTTCCTTCCTTTTCTTTACAATAGCTAATCCAGTTATCCAGTCATACTTTAGGCCTGAGATTATGGGTGTTCTTGTATCATGTTGTCCTTTGAACCTTTATGCATGCTGCTAAAGCAACATTAATGTAATTTGCTGTAATTTTTTGTGTCAATGTTTTTCATCTTTAAAAAATAACTTAGGTAGTCACTAGTAGTGATATATTGATGATTTGACATTATTTGTTAATTTCATCATTAATGTGTTGACTAATAATTCCTAAGAAGAGACATAATATTATTATGAAAACATGTATGGACATGTATATATACCTATATAGAATACTATGAGATTGCAATAATAGTTTATTTGGTTATTATTATGATTTTGTTGCTTAGTGCTGAAAAGGAAGCTCCTGTCATTAATATTTACGATGTAAGTAGAGAAGTAAATAATAACACTAATGGGTCACAGTTCTTCATTACTATTGTACCCACTGTAAGCCTATACCCTATAGCTATACTTTGGTGACTGAATGTACATTGTTGGTGGCACATACGACTATATCACTTATAAATGGCATGTTAGCCGCATGTAGATACTGTGGACTCATAAAGGATCGAACATATAATATCTACTAAAATATTGTCCTTTTTGTTACTATTATGACATAAACCATGGGCATTCCTACTATTTCTGTTGCTGTGATACTATAAAATCACATTTTAATGTTATTATTGCTACACATACTCTATTAGTGCTATTAAATTATGCAGCACGTAGTTCAATTATGCTTATTCTTATACTCTCTCTTACCCACAGTCATGGCTAGATAACAAGCACACTGTTTTTGGGAGGTTTTTCATGGATGTTGCCCAGAAGATCAGTGAAGTCAAAACTGACCCAAGGTCAAACAATCCTTATGATGAGATAAAAGTTATATGAACATCCCTTTAAAATAAACATTTTATGTACTATGGTAGCTCTATGATTGCTTTGATACCTTGTGCAAGGTTAAATTTTGTTAAGTTAATTTTAAATCATTGCAATATAAATTATGAACTCCTAAAATAAAATAAAATAAAATAAAAATAAGAAATAAAAAACTTTTGATTAGTACTTCTTGAACCATAAATATAATAAAAGGCAGACTACTATTGGCAGTATGAATACTGTCATTGTTTTAAAAAGGTCACTATGCTCCTTTTTCACCTGATCATGGTCACTTCTCAATTTCTCGTGTTTAACTATCAGCTGACTTAGCTTATCATCAATGTCGTAGTACACCTTCCCATGCAATAAGTCATGCTGACTTCGTAAATCAGCTCGCATTTTATTCAGCTCTGTATTTAAATAATTAATCTGTCTCTGGAGATTGCTTTGCTCTGCTTTCGATTGCTCCTTTTCTTGCTCTATCCTGCATAAAAGTCTGCTACAAGTTTCAACCAGTACTTCTGTATGTGGTTCTAAGTGGTGCTCCTCACTATTCATTCTCAACGGCATCATTAGGCAACCTAATGCACTGTACTTACACTCTACAGGACTAAGCGGGCATACTAGTAGATGGTCTTGTACATCACAGCGTGGGATCTTTGCCACAGTGGTGCATTTATATGGACACTCTACAGGGAACAAAGGACACTCTGGGTAATGCGTTTGTCGTATGTAGATATAGGTGTCTTTTAATCCACAGTGCTTACACTTGTATGGCCTTGCAGGACATTCTTTCTCTTGGTGTCTCTTTAATTTGTATGCTTGTATGTATTCTTCAGGACAACCAGGGTGTGGGCATCTCACTCTCCCACAATTTTCTGATAGATGAGTCCTAATCTGGCGTAACTCTCCAACCCATTCACAGCCTGTCCTTTCTTTATTGGTGCAATATACTATCTGACTGCCTAGGAACCGTGCAAAGTTTCTGTCTTTAAAGACAGCAAAGTTATGGCCACTGGCTCTGCAGTAGGGGCAAGAGGTAGTAACCCTTGCAATGCATGTCTCACAAAAGTGTTGTCCACAGCAAGATGCTTGACACGGTTCCTCTATTATAACCTGGAGGCATATAGGACACTCTATGTTGTCCAAGCTCTCAGGAAGCTCTTTTTGAAATATCAAGTCATTTCTTGAGAGTTGAGACATTCATTGATGGGAATCTGCTGCAACCCCTCCTCTCTTCTGCTCCAGCCCCTCCTCTCTTTACTCTTCTTCTTGAAACTTCTCACGTGATCTGTATTAAAATGGCTGTTTGCTGGTCGGGGCTATGGCATTTATAAGTAAGTAAGTACTGATACTAGTAAGTACTATTCCAGTGAACATGTGATGTCCACAATAGATCAACCAAATGGAAGAGCCCATCACCAAACTGTATCAGTAGGTAATTCACTGTACGTGTGGGCTGGTTATCAAGATGGTTTACCTGGAGCTCATGACAGCATAGAGAAGAGAAGATTCACCAGTAGCATACAGCAAATTACTCCTTCAACTGGTCAATGGGTCACTAGAAGTACTACTGGGACTCCTCCATTAGGAGTCCTTGGATACTGCTGTGTTGCAGTAAATGAACTATTGTACTATTTTTTGGGATATTGTGGTCATGGTGACTGCTTTTACAACAGTATTACACAACTGGATACTGTTAGTCTTCAATGGAGAGAATTAGAGCCAACTGATGCAACTAGACCAGTTATGAGGAGAGCTTACGGTGGAATGCTATCATTTGAACATTATGGAGTACATCATTTACTAATGATAGGAGGTCTGGGATCAGAACCAGCTGTGCAGCTACCTCATTATAAGTACATCAAGTTACGCAGTGGAAGATGGCATACTGATGAGCACTCAATATATAATATATCATCAAGTAAAAATTATCTTTATTTAGATATTAGTTAATAGTTAATTTAGGAAAATGGAGTAATCCCTCAATCATTGGTCAGTGTATTCGACCTGCTTTTGGCTTTATCATTGAAAGAATCAACAACACTAGAGCTGTTCTGTTTGGTGGAATAGAGACTAATGATGATGCCAAGATTACTGCTACTAACAATGTTTATCTGTTAGAGATATCAATCACCACTGTGGTATGTTTAATACACAAACATAAAAAATAGTTAATGTGTTATTCACTAGTTCTGGCAGTGTATAAAGAAACCCGAAGCAATATACCAATGGCCTGTGGGTAGATACCGTCATGCAGGTGCTGTTGTCATAACTGGACCGGACAGTCCTATGCTAGTGATAGCTGGTGGAAGGGACATGAATAATGATACATTAGATGATTGTTGGATCTTTAACATCACTCAAAGTTTGTGGATAAAGGTACATGTATGTCCAGTGAGATACATGTAAGCTATTAATTTCTTTCTATTAACAGTTAGATGCACCTCAAACTGTTTGTAAGAGATGGGCTCATTCTCTCTTAGTGTTCGTTATGAGTCCTCATCGTGTTTGGATAGTGTCAGTTGGAGGACAAGTTGATAAGACATCATTTGTCACTCACCCTAATGTTGTGATGCTAACTGAAGTACATGTAGGTCAGTGTGCTTTTTTATTTCATAGCCAGGGCTGTTTTGAAATTTATACTAACTAATTGTTCATTAAGTGGAACCTCTGAATAACGAAACTTTTGGGACACAAGAATCTTTTCATTACATAGAGGTTTTCATTAAAGGAAAGTTTTGTAAATGAGGCATCCCCAATGTGAGACTTTACCTTTTTATAAAAAATGAGGGGCAGTAGACAGCAGAGTAAGCTGGGTAACAAATTGCAGAACAAGAAAAGAGAATAAGAAAATAAGTTTGCAGAATATGTTTCATAATGAGGGAAAGGCTGTTTAAGGGAATTATCTGTGCTCCTGGATAGTAAGATGGCAAAATAAGAGTGACAGAGCATAATGTGTGGAGAAGAAAGACGCCATTTTTACAGTGGGCGGGTCTGTTTTTAATTGATTATTTTATTATATGACATCATAGAACTAGTGCTCATGCGTGGCCACACCCACTTTTCATTAAATGAAAGTAAAATGGCATCTTGGTCAGAAAGAAGCTTTCGTTATTTCATAATAGAGGAGTTTTCGTTAAAGGGAGGCCTGTTTTCATTGAAAAAATGGGGAAATGAGTTGGTACATTTAATTTTTTTTTCATTATAAAGAGGTTTTCGTTAAAGAGAAGTTCCGTTATCAGAGGTTCCACTGTATTTCTATAAGTGGGTACGTTATGAAATTTACAGCATAAGGGTAATTCTCCTTTATTAACATAAATAATTTAGATAGGCAACATAGGCCACAACTAGAGGCGGAGTTATATATCAGTCATCTGCTATTGCTATTTGTTTTTCGTTGACTTACCTTGACTGGCAATTAAAATTGCCTTTGCAAAAAATTACGAAGGAGAATTGAAACATAGTGACCTTTAGGCTTTGACATAATTGTCTGTTGATAAATTACCCCAATGTTAAAATATCCAGTCATCTCTATAGCTTTTGCGGGTAGGTGATTGACCATGTTTGCCTTTCTAAATTTACACACTACAATTTACATCTGTGTGTATTTGTACCATATAAAGCCAGAAATCTAGATTAAATAATTTTTTATATTTTTACATCTATTAGGTACTAACAGTGAAGGAGAGTGGATAGTAGGGGATACATTAGATACCGATGGTATGAATAATAAATACAAGAAAAGGTATGAGCAGCAACTACAGTTAACATTAGGAGGAAGAAAATCATTGGAAGAGTACCAGAAACCAAGAAAAGGAGATATGCCAGTTGATGTTGAGCAAACGGTACAAGCTCTTCTGAAGAGTCTTGAAGAGAAGGAGAGAGAATTACAAGAAAAGGAGAGAGAGGCACAATCTTATTGTCAGCAAATGGAGCAAAAGGAAAGAGAAAAAGCAGAGAAAGAGCAAGAAATAAGGAGATATCAGCATAAGCTACAAGAGATAGAAGCAGAAAATCAGGAGAAGGATAGGGAGTTACGTCAGTCTCAAGAGGCAGTTCGTAGGTACCAGCAACAAGGACTTACTGATGATCACTGGGTTATCAATAGAGATGAGGTGACTTTGACAAAGGAGGAGTTAGGAAGAGGGTCTTATGCTGTCGTTACTGTTGGTATCTTTAGAGGTTTAAGGGTAGCTGTCAAGTCACTTCATACTATCATCATCTCAGATTATAATCAAGGTCTTTTCTCCAGGGAAATGAGTATAGCATCACGAGTACGTCATCCTAACCTGGTCCAGTTTATTGGTGCAACTAAGGTGGGTAATCCTCTCATCTTAACGGAACTGATGAGCACTAGTCTTAATCATGTGCTTCAGAAAAACCGATTAACCAATCAGCAGATTCTTAGTATTGCTCAAGATGTAGCTTTAGGTCTCAACTACCTTCACCTGTTAAAGCCTCAGCCTATCATTCACAGAGATGTCAGCAGTCCTAATGTATTGTTAAAACCTCGCACTGGACCTGCTGGTTATGAAGCGAAAGTAGCAGATTATGGTACAGCTAAATTGCAACAACAAGGCACTAGTACTGGTACTGTTATGCCAGGCAATCCAGCATATGCTGCACCAGAAGCTCGTGATCCTGATCAACACAGTCCAGCAATGGATGTCTACAGTTACTCTGTTCTCCTTATGGAAGTGAATTTATGTTGTCCACCAGAAATGACGGCAGTAGAGAGAGCAAGGCAATCTGGTACTGTCTCTTGGTCTGATATGAAGTCTCTAATACAAAGAGGACTAAAAGCTGATCCTATAGATCGTCCAACTATGACCCAAGTAATAGAGTCATTGAAAAGAATTAAAATTTGATATTTTGATATTCTAATTTCTGCCTTTTAATAGTTTTAAACTATAATTTTTTTGTATCGAGTTATTATAGTTTTTGCTTCTTAGTTAGTTTTTTTCTTGTTTTGTTGGTGTGTGAACTGAGCCCTTAAATGTACACGTAGAAGTCTTGCAGCACGTCCACTTTTTAATCAGTTTTGTGTACTAATTAGGTGACATTGTGCCATTATTGTTACTTCCTTATACAAGGAATCATTTACTCTACAATCATGAATAAAATTTACACAGGAAGTGACATTGTGCTGACTCAACTCAACTGTGTATGTCATGGCTGACTCAGATAGTGGTAAGTCCAGTCAATTAGCACTTAGAGACAGTCTTAAAATCACTTTAAAACCTTTAGATGGCACTCCAGCTGATATCTATCAGGCAGCTTTGCCTTCAATTTCTCCGTTAATTGGGAAAAAAATCAAATTTTACTAATGTCACTAATTGCTTGTTTGGAAGGAAACTAATCACCGTACAAGAGTTAAATGGAATAACATCACAACAAAATCTGACTGATGATGAAAGGGGAAGCAAAGTAGCCTTCATTTTATACGAAAAAATAGAAGAGAGTGCTAAGAGTGATCCAAGAGATGGTCCCGTTCGATGCTTGATGACTATTTGTGATGTCTTCGAAAACCAAATAATCAATGATGCATCATTAAAGACACATGCAGCTAGTATGAGGAGCAAAATTGCATCAGGTAATTATTTAAGGCATAATTATAAGGTCGGGTAGGTCTTTTCCAGCAGTTGTGTCATTTTCTCTAAAAAACTATTTTTATTATTTTGTTTTTTGCTATAATTCTCAATTATAGCAAAGTCTATATTTACCTTTGCAAAGGACAAAACAATAATAAAGAAAAGATGAATTGTCTAAAAATGAGCTGGAAACATGATAATGTCCCTATCTATAACAGTGGGGGTTAAAATTGTATCAAGGAGTTTTCATATTAATTGTTATTTTTATTTTGTCAGGTAGACCACCTCAAGTACCAACCATTCAACACACTCAAGTTGGACACACCATGACACCCAAAACAAAAAATAAGGGTACGTTTTGTTTGCAATTTTAAAATTTTAATTTTGTACACATTGTTAGCTGCTTCTGATAGATTAAGAGAAGTGTCAGATAGGCTAGCGTGCTCAATATCATCTTGTCTGATGGACGTTACTAGCAAGCTTTATGCTGGTAATGTAATCGGACTTTCATTGAAAGATGAGATGATCAATGGTCATGATATTGATTCAAGGAAAGCTACAAAGCTAGTTAATGAATTACAAAGAGCTCTTGATAATCACACTAGACCTGATACATACTTGGATGAAATGTGCAGAGTATTAAGAAATGTTCGAGAGAAACAAATCACTGATATAGTGGACACATTGAGTAGTTTTAAGTGAACTAAAATATTGCTATAGATTTTCTAATATTTTCAGGATATTGCCTTACTTTAAATTATTTTAAGTATTTTAGTAATATTGATAAACATAGTGCTTAGTTTTATTTATAAAAATTTTGTTTTGCATACATGACTATTTTAGAATTGGGCATGATGCATTGCTGTCTTATGATGTAAATGGAAATTGGAAAAATTTGCTAAACATACAATGCTGCCACAAATGCTATATATATATATATATATATATATGCAGCTTTTATGTTGATAGTCTGTCTATCAAAAACTTTAGTTTTAAAATTTAATTAACTAAGCTGATAATAATAAATCAATATATTGGTCTTCTTAGACTGTCAGAGGGCAAGGTATACTAGATAGTGCTAGCTTGATTGTAGTCTAAAGCAACTTTATTATGCTTTCATCATAGGTAATGATGTTAGTGCAGTTTCGACTGGTCCAGCAATGGTCCCTGCATTCCAAAGTGAGTCCTCATACAGTAACCAAAATAGTAAGTAGGGTGCAGGCAAGTTAATATTTTCACTATTATACATGTTTAGATGTATAGTACAATGGGAATGTGGTTTGAATATGGCTGGCTATTTTAAACGGTCATAAAAAGAAAACTAATTTATGGGAAAATTCTACATGGCCAGAATGAAGTGCTAACGTTTATCTAGAAAATTATTTGGAGTCTCAAAATTTGACGAATTGACTCTAAAAACAAATCAACTCTAAAAGAGGTTTGGAGATTACAATTTTGATTAAATTTTGAAGCATTTGAACACTGCTAAAAAAGACTTATCAAATTGAAAACTAAAATTTTGACAATTCAACAATATCACCAAAATTTTACTCCACTAAATTTTTAGCTATAATATGGTATATCTATGCAGCTTTTATTGAGTAGTGATTTTTGTTTTTTCAAACAAAACTGTTTGATAAAACTTTGACCAACAAAAATTTGGAGCTATATAGTAGTTTGGTTGCTTTCAATATTAGACTAAAAAGCACAGCTTTATTATACTTTCGTCATAGGTAATGATGCTACTGCAGTTCCAACTGATCCAGCAATGGTCCTTGCATTCCCAACAGAACCCTCTTACAGTAACAAAAACAGTAAGTGGGCAATAGACAAGTTAACATTTACACTGTATATGTTTTAGATGCTCACAAAGTTTTGACAAGTAGTAATGACATGTTAACAAAGATTGATTTGATGTATTTAGCAGATAAGATGGTAGAAAAAGGTATCATTACAAGTGAGCAAAAAAGGGAAATAGTTGATGACAGATATCATGGACTGTCTGGATTCCAGCGCATCAATAAGTTACTGGATCATTTGAGAGACACTGTTGAAGTCAATGAGGGAACATTTCAATGGTTCATTAAAATTTTAAATGATTATAATACTGTGTGGTCAAAAAGTGTTGCTAAGAAACTAATGGATAAGTATACTGAAGTAGGTTAAAAATTTCACTTTTACTAATCTGACTTTCGTCATAGCTACAGATGACAAGTTAATCAGCAGCAACATGTTTTCTATTTGCGAAACCTGGTTTAACTATATATTAGATTTTAAAATAATAATTATAGCTAAATTTATTTTAAAAATAAGACATTTTGAACAACAAGAAACAATAACGGGGGTTGGGGGTATTATTATTCATGTAGACTATCATGTACCTGTAGACTAGAATGTGTATGAACATGCAACAGTTAGTCTAGATAGTTACAGTACAATTGGAGCTCATAGGTACATGTAAATCTTCTGATAAAAATACTACAATAGCATTACAAATTTACAATGTAGGATCTAGAGCCATAATAATTATAATACTAACATAGCAGGAATTAATTTTGTTAAAATTTTAAAAAAATTAATTCAGCCAGCAAAAGACATAATAAGTCAGGCCGGCCTGACAAACAATAGCGTATAATAGCATAGCAATTTAACAGCATAAATATTCTTGCAAAAACAGCAGCTAGATAGTTGGAGGTAAAGCAGCTCTCCAGCCATCTTGTAGTGCTTTACGTAATTCAGTTACAGTAGATTCCATTTCTGGTTTATCAGCAATATTAATGTTCTCATCATTGAATGAAACCGTTGGAGTAGAGTGATCATAAAGCTCAGTGCCCCACTTCTTATCAAAGTCTGGTTTAGAAGTATCACGATCAAATGTATACCATTCGGTGAAACGATACTTGTCAGTACGAATAGTATAGCCCATTACATTCTCATCATGTTGGTTATGGTCAAAAGGTGGATGTCCTGGGATTTTTACCATACCAGAGTAAGGTCGTGGAAATTGTGAAAAAGCTCCTTTCTTCCATTCTTGATCTGGATTCTTAAGAA